CGGGAACGGTAACGGTAACGGTTGCTACGGAAAAAGTTACCAGTTACTTTTCAGGGTAACTTCTTTAAAACGACGAATTATGACTTGCTATGATCGAATTTCGTCGATAGATTAATTTTTGAATTCCGGAGTTACCCGGTAACTGGTAACTGGTTTCCCGTTACCAGTTACCCGGGTAACTCCGAAATTCAAAAATTAATCTATCGACGAAATTCGATCATAAGAAGTCATAATTCGTCGTTTTAAAGAAGTTACCCTGAAAAGTAACTGGTAACTGTCCCGTTACCAGTTACTCGGGAACTGGTAACGGGGCAGTTACCAGTTACCCGGGTAACTGGTAACTGCCCCGTTACCGTTACCCGGGAACGGTAACGGTAACTTCCCACCCCTATTCTTGGTTGGCTTGAATAGAATGATTAAAGAAGAAGAAGATATCTGTAATAAGAAGAATCCGCACGAGCTGAACATGAAGTTGATACAGGCACTTCAACAATTGAAAGAGAAATATAAAAATAAAAAGGAAGAAATGGCTCAAAGAAAACAATCCATAGAGTTAACTGACATTTATCAGAAAATCACAAGTGTGAGCGAATATAAAGTGATAGCATCACAAATAAATACCATTTATGAATGGCACAAAGAAATGATTAAATATTATCAATATGAAGTTTCAACTTGATTGACACAATGAATTCTAAAGAAAATTTTAGACAAACTGATTGCTTAATTATTGAAATAAGATAACTCTTTAGAAAAAGCGTGTTGAAGAAAAACAATTTAATTTGATACTTTCTCCTTCGTACTTTTTTTTTTATATAATTCATTATAGTGTTGAATAAATTCGCTTTACTCCAAACTAAATTTAATGTATGTGTCGATAAAAGAAAAAAATATCTATGTAAACAGTCATTGATAGAAGGTCTGCCATAAAATTGTGAAGTATTATGTCAACATATTAATATGAAAGTAAGTTTTAAAATAAAAACACCAGCGTATAATGTATGTAGAAAACATTTAAAAGGAGAGGTCGCTTGCCTTTCAAGTCTTTTTTAAATTTTATGTTACCGAGCGATAACTTTTATTGATGTCACCAAGACTCCGGTATCGTATAGTTATCTCTGCAGTAAAGTTGGATAAATCGACAATTTCGATGTCACGAATTAGTCTACGTTTTGCAGAACATTTCTCAATTCAAAGAAAATTAAGAGTTATTTCCAGTTATTCTAGTAAAAGTCCTTTGCGGAATATCGTAACAGCTCAGTGGCGTAGGTAAGGGAGGGGCAAATGGACAATTGCACATTTCATTCGGAGATTTGCCCACTGTAATTTTTATGAGTAAGTTTTTGCCCATTGAAATTTCACTTTTTCAGAATTGTTTTGTTTATTTTTGAATTAGATAATAACTCGTTTTCTTTTCTTTCATCTGAATCACACATGCATTTTTGCTTGTTCTTTCTGTAAAGATTGAAGAAAAGACTCGCTTCTGGTATTTTCATCAGAGTTGCTAGATGAAAAACTTAAAAATCAGAAAAAAATCAGAATTTTTTTCTGAAATTGGAAACTAATCATAAAGAGTAACTTTTTGCAAACCAAGGGCTATCATGTTGACATACTTGCACAAAATGCTTCACAGTTTTTTTGTTTATCGGCTCATACTTTATTTTTAAGAGCATTTCATAGTAAAGAAAAACAACACAACCATTATATAGCTTAGAGTAAAAGATCATATACTGTAAGCTAAGGAGATTGATCATAGTTGGATCAAATGAAGATTCTCACTATCAAACCAACTAATTAAAAATATGAGCTGCCAGTAGCCTACACACACCGAGAAGAAGTTTACAGTTTGTTATGTACCTTCACTACTAAATTTCGTCTACGTTTAGTTTTCTTTTTTTGTCATGGTTGGATGGGCACGACCATTTACATAAGAAAAAACAATATCATGCATATTAAAAAGCAAATTCAACGAAGTCTAAGACAAACTTTTTTTAATTATAAGGGTAATAAACAAAAAATTTTAATTGCTGTCAAATTGCTGTTGAATATGTGTAATATTGCTTCTTCCTAGATAAATAGTCGTGTTCCATCGAACCATGATGAAAAAAGAAAACTAAAGGTTGATGAAATTTCGTACTGTGGGCACATGACAAACTGTAAATATTTTAAAATTTAAACAATTCTGTCTGTCTACACTATTGGCAGTTCATGTTTTAAACTAGTTGTTCCGTATGTGAGAGCATTCATTTGATGCGACTATGATGAATCTCCTTAATTTACTGTATCATGATCTTCAATTGTTAGTTAATACAAAAAAAAGTCAGGAAAAGACACCTAGTGTCGGATTCTTTTATAAAAACCAAAACTCTGTTTACGAAATATATGCACAAACAAATCATATATATAAACAATGCAGATCAAAAAATCTTACGAAAAATAATAACAGTTATAGAACATAACTTCTATATTAGTTTTCAAGTTTTTCTTCGTTCAAAATTCCTTCAATAAATGTTTTTGAGCTAAAATATGTTTACAAAATCGTTCAAACAAAAAAATAATTAGCATTCACTCTTTAGTTCAGCAACGTAACAACTTATTGATATATTAAAGCACTTGGCAGTATCTGCAGAACTCAGAAACTACAAAAGATTAAGAAAGGAAATAAGGTAGCGGAATACAGATCTATAATATTAATGGATTACACTCGTAATTAATTCCACTAGTACAGCCGCCATCTAAAAACGTCTGGAATTCGGCAACAAATCAGAAAAAAAATCGGGAAAATGTTCAAATTTCAGAAATTTTCCTGGCTTTTCCGAAGATCTAGCAAGCCTGATTTTAACTGTAAGTTTGGGTGAACGTGAGTTCGATTTTATTGGGAAAACACTATCCACGTAAACGTAGAGAAGGATAGATCAAAAAGAAGAGAAATAAGAGAACACACACGAACATATATATATATATAGAGTGACATATAGAAGAGAAAGAAGAAATCCAATGATGTATATGTAGAAATATAAAGGAAAAAAACCAATATGTGAAATGATGCAGTTCGTAGAGAATATGTCTATGTGTGTTGTACAGATACATATTTGAAGAATCCTCAACACTAACTTATGTATGTGTTTTTTTACGTTATTAGTACTTTGTTGGGTGAAAAAAGTTTTGGCCTATCAATAAAAACCTTGCCCATTTCGTCCATTGGTTTTTTTCGACACAAGAGAAGTTTGCTCATTGGTCTAAAAATCCTGGTTACGCCGCTGTAACAGCTATAGATATTTTCTTAGTAAATAATCATTATAAAACGAAAATTAGACTATAACTCCCCCACTTAACGATATGTGTTAGCAGTGTGGGTGTGGGTGGGTGTGCGCATGTATCTTCTTTTTACTTACATCCACACCCACATCTCACACCCTAGCTAATAAGATTTTTGTGTTAATCGAGACTAACTTTTATTTAAAAAAATAAAAACAGGACTTGTTAAATCCTAGTCTCTGTAACTTCATGTTCGACAGTGACTGTTTCTCTATGAAGTGGTTGTGGCAGTCAAACTGGCATTAGTGGAGTATTTTTCAATTGCTGACCGATTTTAATTATTTTCTTTTTCAACTTTCTAAGACATTGTCCAATAGGTGAATTATTCCAGAAGGCTACCATATAAACATTCGCTGGATAAATATAGTAGAAAAATTTAAATGACGTTGGTAAAAGGCCAAATATATTTCCGAATACAAAAATCAGATAGGGCAGCGACTCGAGTTTCGATGCTTTAGAACAGGTCATTATTTCCATTATAACCAACATTGGAATTGAAAAAAATATACTCACGATAAGTGGTATAAAAAAATCACGATGATTACGTAAAATGAGACGAATATTTTGTAGAGTTGTATAATTTGGAGCGATACGTTGACGATGTCTTAGTAAATGGGCAAAAACACCAAGACAAAGTAGTATATAGGAGAGAAGTGTACCATATGTATGTATACTGAAAATAACTTTATAGATGGTATAGCCAATTGGTGTATAGTTAACACAAGCCATAGCTGTCAGCAACTTATTGATCTCAGAATAAAATTGATCTGTTGGAAGTTTTTTGAGAGTAAAAATTCCAGGTATTGTTGTTAAAGGACAAATAATAAAAATTAATGTTGAAATTATAAATGAACGTTTTCGTGAATCAAATATACTATAATTGTAACATTCAACTAACATACGTTCCAATGCTATAGAAACTATACTCCAACCCCAGATATATGCTAACGATACTAAAAAAAATTTTTGATAAATTAAACATTGAATGTGCAAAAAACGATCTGATAATTGTTCTGCAAACCATAATAGAATTACTGCAAATAAGTTTTCGAGTGAAATTAATAATACAATAATCGCATTAAAAATTAGATAGACACCAATATTTGTAATACGTATTTTTTGGCTAGAGAGATATGTTTGTAGACAGAGAAGAGAATCGATCATTTGAATAGCGACGCAGAACAGCGTAAAAAATTTTGAAGCATTAACCATTTGTGGTGTTCGCGATGGTTGACCTAGGAACCAAAGATTCCTTGAAAATACTTCCTCTTCACAAGTATTACCATAATAACACGGATAACAAATACAGACTGAGACAGAAGTAGGAATAATTGATGTAACACATAAGCCACGATCTAAACAAATATCTTTGTTAGCATCACAGAATTTTAGACCCATATTAGTTAGGCATTCGGTAAGATTGTTCTGACATGCATCAACATCCATGCTTATATGTATTCAGAAAGAGAAAAGAAAAAAATACGTCTGTATGGGATTTCACTCAAAATAAGTGTAAAATTTGTTCTTCACTCTTTTTATATCAGTACGCTGCTTTTATGTATGATATATTTCATGACTCAAAAAAAGGAACTAAAAAAGAATTCACTTTTTTCATTACCTACAAGTGGAGAAAAATATTTTTCTCTTTCACGATTGGTTAAACAAGAAAATAAGTTGGAAGAAAAAGGAAAAAATGACGTTTTTCTTCTTGTTTATATTCACAAAAATATTACTGTTTTCGCATAGAAAATCGTTCGATTGGTATACGTAAGTATCTGCTGACGAGATTGTAATGTTTTATAAAATTTAACTTAACAAATTCTAGCGTATATACTACAACATTGCCCATAACGATGTCGTCTGAAAATAAATATAAAGATTCCCTGGAAGCATCGTTGAATGGCGTGACAGATCGTCGAGTGTATCGAGAGGAAACACAACTTTCTACCTATCATTATGTTGATGGAGAGAATACTGCAACTGACACTCGGGAAAGCCGTTGTATTCGCTTTGTGTACTCATCTGATACGACATCTCCAGCAGCGTCGTCAACTGTCGTTTCTGACGTTGATACTCCCGTCACTACTAAATGTGATAGTTGTGACTTATTTAAAAAACAGGATCACTACGATTGGAAACTTGTTGATACGAACGTTCTTCAGACAGCTCTCAACTTTAGAGAGGAACTAATACCATGGAACAATGACAACGAAAAACTAAAAAAGAAAATTTATACTATCCGTAAAGGCTACTTAGCACTGCGTTTAAATTACATAACAGATAAGAACCAAATCAACGATATCCGTAAATTCTTCGAGCAAGCGATGCAAGAATGCGATCCACGCCATATTATAGAGGCGTATTCTGTGAGTCAACGCTTTTCTAAACTTCTGAATATAGATATGGCACGTGTTGTACTGCACGATATTCATAAAGGATGCAGTAAATTTAGCTGTGATACTTTGTATACAACACAAGATGGTACAAAATCAATTGCCAGTATTCTCTTTTATCATCCAGGATTCGCTACATACCAAGGAAGGGTTTATCGTGGTATGTTCGGTCCAAGAGAATTAGCAAATATTCAGGTGAATCGCTGTATTATGACTACTACATTTTTGTCAACATCAAAGGTACCTGAAGTAGCTGATATATTTGCAGGGTATAATCGAACAAAGCAAAAACTTGATCGAGAAGGTAAAGAAGGCGAAGTATCAATTGGTTGTACATTCATAATTAAAAATATTAATGGACATCGTCGAGCATTAGATATAAGTGGTATATCTAGATTTTCGGATGAAGATGAAGTATTACTGCTGCCATATTCAGTATTTCTGACAACGAAAAGAGAGACAATCGAACTTCAAAATAACAAAGGAAACAGAATTGAAATTGAATTAGAAGAATGCGATGAGGCACAACTAAGAGCGAGTCTCAGTTGCCAGTAAAATGTTTCGTATTGAAAAAACCTTTATCGGCTAACGAGAAAAGTGATAAATATATTTGACTTCGTTTTTATTTATTTATACGCGAAGTTTCGGAATTATAGAAATCTTGAAAGAGCTTCTTCCATGTCTTTTCTTTTATAACTTGAACCGATTTATAATCTTTACAGAAGGCAATGATCTTAACAGAAGTCAGCAGTAGCATTAACAATTGCGTCAGAGAATATCGTGCGTAGGCATGTCACAACACCAATATGGTTTTGAGGTATTGATAGTGAACGGTATTGACTGATATTAGGTATTGATTAGTGTCAGAATCATCATTCGCCAATACCAATATAAT